TATCTGCATGCTTACTGTCTGTCTCCACCACTAGAAAGTAAATTTGTCTTGTTCATGGCTACAGTCTCAGAGTCTACACCAGAACCTGGCACACAGTACGTTCTCAGTATCTTCTGAATGAATGAATGAGTAAATAAGATACTTTGGCCCAAAGGTGAAGGACCACAGACCCTGTCCTATAATCGGGGTCTGAATAAGCACTGAACAGTCTGCTGGGCTCCTCCTCCCCACGCGGCTCCTAGGTGGGGTAAGCTGGAGCAGAGGCTGAAGTCTCTCTCCTGTAGGAAGAGTCTATTCAGGAGAAGGTCTCAGAGAGCCCAGGTTGGACCCAGCAGAGAGGAACAGAATTTGAGGGCCTCAAAACAAAGTCTCCTTGTCCTAGCATCTTCTAGGGACAGCAGAGCTGTGGGCTTCTGCTCTATTATCTATTGCTGCATAATAAACAGTCCCAAAACTTAGTGGCTTACAACAACATTAATTTTGTTATATCTCATGATTTTTATTATCAGGAATTCAGATACAGCTTGGCTTGGTGATTCCCCTGTCCCACATGGCACTGATTTAGGTCACTTGATGGTATTCAGTTGGCAGTTAAGCTGGTCTAGAGGGTCCAAGCCAGCTTCACTCACAGGTCTGGTGGAGGAGGCTGGGGGAGTAACTGGGACACTCTGGGAAGGCAGTTGGGACTCAGGCTGCAGATCCTGCCTTTTGACAAAGCGAGGGAACGTGGCTTTCCGGGAGAGAGTCACAAATGACTGCATGCATGTTAGGAATCCAAACTAAGCACTTCCTGGAGAACTCTGAGATCCCTTGGAAAATTTGGGGGATTTATTTCTCCTCCAGAACTCTGTAAAGATGAAAAGAATGGGCTTTGAAAGACAGAAAGACCTGGGTTGACGTCCTCGCTGAGTGGCCCTGGAAAAGTTACTGATCTCTCTGAATCTCACTGGTAGGAGGAGAAAGTCGCCTGTCCTACCACTGCCAAGAATAAATGACAAGACATAGACACTACCTAGCACAGTGCTTGGCATATCACAAGCAGTCAACAGCTGTAAGTCTTAGATATTATTATTGGGTTGGTAACCCCAGCAGCTGCTGCCAACACCCCTGTCATTTTCCTGGGCCCTAGTGTAGATGGATTGTTTTAGATTAGCACTGATCAATAGAAGTATAATGCGAACTACATTACATACGTAATTTTCAGTTTTGTAGTAGCAACATTAAAAAAGGTAAAAAGAAACAGGAGAAATTAATTTTGATAATATATTTTATTTAACTCAATATATCCAAAATATTACCATTTCAACACGTAATCAATTTAAAAATTATTGAGATTTTACATTACTTTTTCATCGTGGTAAGTATAACATTTGCCACTGAAACACTTTACATGTACAATTCAGTGATGTTAATTACATTATCATGCTGTGCAACCATCACCACTATGCATTTCCAAATTTTTCCATCCCTCTTAACAGACGCTCAACGCTCCCTAAGCAATGATTCCCTTTCTCCCCCTCCCTCCCACTCTAAACCAAAAACCAAACCCACTGCCACCGAGTGGATTCCAACTCACAGCAACCCTATCAGACAGAGTAGAACTTCTCTGTAAGGTTCCCAAGGATGTCATCTTTATGGAAGCAGACTACCACCTCTTTCTCTCATGCACTGGCTGGTGGGTTCAAATCGCTGACCTTTCGGTTAGCAGCCGAGTGCTTATCCACTGCACCACCCCTACTCTAGTAACCATTAATAAACTTTGGTCTCTCTATATTTGCCTATTCTAGATATTTCATATAAGTGGGAACATACAATATTTCTCCTTTTGTGATTGACTTATTTCATTCAGGGTAATGTTTCCCAGGTTCATCCGCGTTATGGCATACATCAGAACTTCATTTCTCTTTGTGGTAGAGTACTACTGCATTATATGTATCACATTTTGTTTATCTATTCATCTGCTGATGTACCTTTATACTGTTTTCACCTTTTGGCTATTATGAATAGCGTGCTGCAATGAACACTGGGGGACACGTATCTGTTTGTGTTCCTGCTTTCGATTCTTATGGGTATATACCTAGAAGTAGAAATGCTGGGTCTATATTCTTTTTGTTTATACTAGGTCTTCCAAATTTGGTGTGTACTTACATTGACAGCATATCTCAATTCAGATGAACCACATTTCAAGTGTTCAATAGCCACATGTGGCTGGTGGCTACCACATTGGGCAGCACAGGTCTGGGAGATGGAGTCAGGCGGGCCCTTCTGTGTTTAGAGCTAAGTGACCTAGACGAGGGTGGAAGGAGGAATATGGGTCTGTGTTTAAGAGTAAGAACTCTCTCTTCCCTTTGCAACAATCTTTTCTGCAAATATTCCCCTGCCGGGAAGAGAAGAAAGCCAAAAAACGCAAATTACCAAGAAAATAAACGGTTTATTTCTTTTATAATCATAGCACAATAATAATAATACATAATCATAGAGAACCTTTTCTCTCCTGACAGAAAGCATATTCTCTAGGCTTTCTGTATGATTAAAAAACCTGGCTTTGATGCAGGGCCAGTAAGGACTGAGGGCATCAGGACCAAAAAAGGACATGACCAAATGCGTTAGTTCAGGTAAGAAGAGGGTGCTGGGAAACTCTGCAGATTCTCCACAGAGTGCCCCAGTAAACGAGAGCTGGAGGGACTGTGGTGGGTGGCCCTTGCCCTGTATTCTACAGACCTGGGGTCACCCTGCTCACAGAGCTGAGCATGTGGTGGGGGTGAGGGGACTCAGTTGCCGTTGAGTCAATTCTGACTCATGGCAACCCCATGTGTGTCAGAGCAGAACTGTGCTCCACAGGGTTTTCAATGGCTGATTTTTTGGAAGTAGATCACCAGGACTTTCTTCTGAGGCTCCTCTGGGTAGACTCGTACCGCCAACCTTTTGTTTAGTGACCGAGTGCTTAACCGTTTGCACCACCCAGTTGGGCATAAAAGACAGTAGTGAAAGCTTGAAGAAAAAGCCTAAGAACAGATGGAGACTGAAGGAACTAGGATGGCAGACTGATGAAACACCTTATCCTCTGCCTCTTGCTGGTGTCAAACTAAGAAAAGATCTGAGAGTTTGAAAACAATGGGATTCTGAAATGTGATTAAAAAAAAAAAAATCCAACAAACAAACAAAAAAACTCTTGCCAGAGATCCTTAAAAAGAGAGTCTAAAACTTAGTCAGCAAATTTTTTGAGGTCAGTCCTGCTTGTGAGTCTTCCCAGCCTTCCAAAAAAACAACAAACCAAACCAACTCATAGCGACCCTGTAGGACAGAGCAGAACTGCCCCATAGCGCTTCCAAGGCTGTAATCTTTACAGAAGCAGACTGCCACATCTTTCTCCTGTGGAGCGTCTGGTGGGTTCAAACTGCCGACCTTACAGTTAGCAGCTGAGTGTTTAACCACTGTGCCACCAGGGCTCTGTATTTCCTTAAACAGCACTTGGAAAGACAGGTATTATGATGACATTTGGACAGAAGTCACTCTCTGCAAGTGGAGAAGAACTGGCCTCAGTGGTACAGACAGAGTTTCATGGGAGCAAAAAATGAGGAAAAATCTGAATCCAAGTTTTCGACTTTGTCCTCAGTCTACAGAAAGTGTGACATCCAGATAAAGAACAAGAGCGGGTTGAAATTACATGCGCGCGAAGGTCACTCTGAGCATTTTTTCCTTAAATGGCAAGCAGAGACCAGCAAAACACAGAAATGAATTAAAGGTATTTGGGTTTCTAATATGCAAATCCATTCCTATTTGTTTCATTTCCTTTTTCTTTTTTTCAGCAACACAGGGAAAGCACACAGAAAGACAGGCCACTGCCTGAGTTGACCTTATCCTCCACGTGGCTGAGAATGGATCTGCAAGTCCTGGCTTCCTGCACGGAGACTCCCTGAGCGTCACTACCTTCTCCCTCCCCAAATGACCAAATTCTGTAACACCTGGCCGAGTAGTAAGGTATCTGAGAAACCTATCATGAGCAGAAATATTTGGAGTGCATCATTATTTCCTTAAGTCTTCTTTGTGGGTTCAGAATCAAATCACCATTTTGTGTAAATTCATTTCTTTTGAGACTCCCATTGAGGCAAGGTATAGGGTTTTAATCTAATTTTTAATCTGTCTTGGAAAATATACTTCAGTGCTCAACAATTTGAAATCTCCTCTGAGATACCAAGGAAGTAAATGGACTGAAAGCATTAAGGAATTCACACAGCATGTAGTTGTTTTTTAACCTGCCTGCAGAGGACATCCATCAATGCTTATGAACCTATTCCCTCTGCTGAGCAAGTAGTACCAACTCAACCTAACTGGTGGGCAAATGGGAGTGGGCAGAATTCAACACAACACACATCCTGACACGTTTACAAGAACCAAGACAAGTTTAGAAGCAGGCAATAAAAGCAACATCAGCCACGAAAAGGCTTCAGAACTTACTAAAGTGTCCTTACTGGCTTCGTACTTGACCCAGAACTACCACTCAACTCCATCTCCACCCCTGCCCCCAAAATGAAGCCCTCACAAGGAATTCTTTGTGCTCATATGTGGGTGGGTAAGGAAAGGAGGTCTTCAGAGGTGTATCCAAAGACGTAAAAAATCAAAAACAAAACAAAAAATTCACACAGAACACCTTGGCCCCCCGCCATGTGTTGAAAGCAGTGAAGGATATTCAACAATCAGAGTTCCGCACTTCAACCCAGGTGAGCGGAACCACCCCAATGACACACTGCATGTCCTGTTTCTGCAGAACTGGGTCCAGCTCGGTCTAGCAAGGATGGAGCAAGGTTCTCAGAATGGGAAGACATGCTGCAGTCTGTCCCCTGCAGAAGCCCCCAGGTCCCCAGAACTAGATCTCCTTGAAGCAGTGAGAAGCAATGAGTCTTCACATCACCAGCTCCTGCCACATCCCACCTGGCCAGAGTGTGACTAGGCCATTGACTCTGCCCACCTGGAGATCCTGGCTTGGTCTCACTGTCCTTGCTTTCTTCTTTCCAACACACACAACACAGAGGTCGCAGCAAAGGTGCTGTCTTCTCCAGCTGGCGATGTGTGAGTCCGACTTTTGTGCCTGTCTTCTTTACGAGCCCTTCCACTCCGAGAAAACAAGCAAGGCCTCTCCAAGACCACCGACCAGGAGGCTGTGAACAACAGCAAGAGGTCAGCTTCCACTCCTTCGAGCCAGAAGGCTGTGGACCAACTGAGCTGCCTGCATCCACACAGACAGGGAAAGGGATGCCTCCCCTTCTTCTGCAACTGTCACCCTGTTACCAGCCCAGGCTGCTACTCTTCAAGGTCAGGCCCCGGACAGGTCCTCCAGAGAAAATCACTCCAGAGAAAACCTCAGCTACACTGTGGGAAGTGAGTGGGCTGGGAGGTGGGTTTTGATACCTTGCCTCAGGGAAGACAGTGAGACATCCCACTCATCCTGACCAGAGGAAGTGACTGCTTGGGTCAATACCTCTGGAAACACAGGAGAAAACTTCCCACAGAGCCCTTCTAGGTGGATGGATATGAAATAATGCAGATTCCCATAATCTTACAATTCTTAAGGAAACAATTTCTGGATATTTTTACTTCATTTAGACCAGGAGAACATCTTAAAATGAAAATACAAAAGGGGAAAAGCTACAGCAGTTGCCCACCAGGATAGAAAGGAGTGCTTTGAAAAGGAAAATGTAGCTGGAGAACTAGAGATCGTAAGGAAAGGAAAAGTTGAATATTTAAACTTGACTACAGTTTAATGCATCTGAAGACCTCTACATTTTTTATTTCAAATTTCTCAGTCGACAATCTGGTGTCTGTCATTCTTTCCACTGAGCACTTCTGGGTAAACCGGGTTGGGCTTCAGTAAAGGGCTATGGGTAGGTCCCTTTCCATTATACCCTTTCCTTCCTTCCCACCCACCCACCCAGTATCCCGATGCTTCCATATACTCATTCCCAACACACATGCATTCAGGCTATGGTGGCTTTATGCTGCTAACATGTATTTAGGGTAATGACGACATGAAACTCTGTTCACATAACAGTGAGAAATGGGTGGCTGGGACATATAGGTAATGTGTGCCATTTACCACCTTTAGTATAGGAACGAATTGACTGTGTAAGAGCATAAAAACAATAAACTTTAGAATTTGGCAGAACTGTGTCCAAATTTTCGCTTGGGCATTTATAGCTCCATAGTCTTGTGCATGTTATTTAGCCCTGGCTTCCTCATCTGTAACACAGGAGATGATCAGATCTACAAGCTTCTGGGAAGCTTAAGACTATACATCTAACGCAACCTGCCACTGTGCTTGGCCTCTAAGGGACAATCAGTGAAACAGTATTATTCTCTAGTCAACTGCCCTCCTGGAGCAGCAATCCCCTCCTCAGTGGCTCTCACAGCTGGCTGGCTACCGAACCTCAGCTTGAATGCTTCTAGAAAGAAGCACGCAAAACAAGCCCATCCCACCACTGGACTCGAGCAAGTCTATGGGCATCTTACTTGTGGAAGACACTGTGGTTGGCCCTGGGTTCTGACTGAGAACACAGCTCCACCCTCAAGAAGAAAACTCTTCCTCATACTGACCCCACAGCTGCTTCCTATAACCTCACCTATTAGTGTCAGTGCTGCTTTCTGGAGCCTGAGAGACCAAATCTACTCTTCACCAGCCACCTGTCAGCCACAAAGAGTGGGAAATTCTCTGAACCACCATGATCTCCTCTCACTTGGTGACTAAAGGCCTCTGTGTGAGGGCAGAGAGAGATGCTAGTCAAGTAGCCGTCATTGGGGAGGTGGGGTGCGAGGGTGTCCCTTCCCTTCACCCTGGGGCTAACGACTGGGACAAAAATAAGATGGGAATGAGGAGATGTACTCCTAGTATCTTAAGCTCCAAGTTGGAATGTATATTCTTCTTTCCTATGGAAATATTATTATAAATAGTGATAATGAATCAATAAATTCTATTGAACTCACATTTAAATCATAATGTAGCTGAAATAAATGTTGATGTTAATTTTAAATTAAGTTTCTAAGGTTGTCTCTAGATCAATAATCATCATGTACAGTACTGTTTCTTTGAGAAATTGTTCTCCAAGTTCCAAAAAAACAACATTTTTAAACAAAACTCATTTGTGAAGCTGGGGGTCGGCTTGTCCTTTGTCTATTTCAGGAGCCCAGAAGCTGTAGGGTTCTATTTCTTGTTCTCTTTGGATGAAGGGAGTCCCTGGGTGGTGCAAACGGTTAATGTGCTCAGCTACTAACTGAAAGGCTGGAGGTTCAAGAACACCCAGAGGCACCTCGGAAGAAAGACCTAGAGATCTACTTCCAAAAAATCAGCCACTGAAAACCCTACGGAGCAGTTCTACTCTGACACACACAAGGTTGCCATGAGTCAGAACTTACTAGAAGGCAACTGGTTACTGGTTAGGATGAAGAGGTGGCTGTCAAGGGGCAGCCATTCTTTCAGTGCCCAGGCTCATCTCTAAAGACCTGTTTTTTCCTTTTAAGCAGATCTGCTGTCACCCTCAGCATCCGTTAAAGGGTGCGAACACTGGCTCCTTAAACACCTGGGTGAGTGCAGCATCACTGTGAGCTGACACAAGGGCTGCGTGGGCTCTGGGCCTGGGACGGCTTTATTTCCGCCAGTGTAGCCGAGGGCACAGCCTTTTTATATTTCCACTAATCCTCCTTAATCACCAGGGAGCAAAACAAGATAGCAGCTGGCCCTTTGCCATTTTCACTCCCACAAGCCTTAGAACAATGCTAAAGTGTAATAACCTTGCATTTCATCCCTCTGGCTTAGCTATTTTATGAAACACCAAAGCATCTTAGGGAATGCTAAGGGAAAACAAACCTTGGTTCAGTGTACTGTTAAAGAGAGCCAGGGAGGTGTGCTTTGATGTTGTTTTCTAAACAGCAGGAGAAGCTGACATGGGGTGCAGGAATCTTAACAGCGTTGCAATATTTAAGCTGGAGCTTTAGTGAACTGTTTGCAAATCCTGTCATCCCTGAAATGAACAAACTTCATGTAACAAAGGCGTCAACATCAGATTGCAGGGCGCGCCCAGCAGGAATATTCATCACTAGCTTCTCTCCCTGAGGTTTATTTTCAGTGCCTGTCCAGTCCTTCTCTTTTCTCCCAGGGAGTGCCAAACACTCCATCTCAATCTTACACTAATTACTGCAGTTATTCAATTAATTCCTATTGAACCCACTAGACAGAGGATGAAAACTGTGTCCTTCCCCAGCTGCAGCCCGGCACCTAATGCAGAGCTTAATAAATATTTATTCAATGGATGACTGAATTGTCATACTTGTTCCCTTCTCCCACCTATATTCCAAACTATTTTTGCTTTTTCTCTTCTCCTCATCAAAACTTATTTGTCCAATGTATCATTCCCTCCATGCCTTGCTGAGGGACAGTTCATAATCTGATAGATTAATCTATGCTGATAGGTAATTAGCAACAGCTACTTAGAAGGCCCTTTTTAGATGCATTTTAAAGCTGTGGTTTCACTTTTTTAAGTAAAAGGGAAAACTGATACAGGATTTTCAGACACTGTGATTCCAAAGACATTTTGGAGTATGTTGGGGAAAGTTCTTTCTTCACTCCTAAATTCATTGGTTCGGTCATAGAATTCTCTTCTTCCATGCAGGACGCCCGGGTTCGATTCCCGGCCAATGCACCTGAAGCACAGCCACCACCCATCTGTCACTGGGGACTTGAGTGTTGCTGTGATGCAGAAGAGGTTTCAACAGAGCTTCCAGACTAACACAGGCTAGGAAGAAAGGCCTGGAGATCCATTCCAAAAAATCAGCCAATGAAAACCCTATGGATCACAACTGTCCAATCCTGTTGTGTATGGGGTCACCATGAGTCGGAAGGCTGACTCGATGGCAGTTAACAATAACAACCACAATATATAGACTTGGAGTCCCCTGGTGGTGCCAAAGTTTAATACACTCAGCTGCTCACCAAAAGGCTGAAGGTTCAAGTCCACCCAGAAGTGTCTTGGAAGAAAGGCATGGTGATCTACCTCAAAAAAATCAGCCACTGAAAACTTTATGGAGCGTAGTTCTACTCTGACACACATGGGGGTTGCCATGAGTCAGAGCTGACTCAACGGCAACAGGTTACTGGTTACATGTAGACTAGGGAAGTCTTCATGAAGTCTCCTAAAATTAAAGGGATAAGACTTCTTTACTCAAGATAATGTAATATCGTTTTCTAAAGACCTGTGGTCTTGGTGAGTTCTGTTCTAGGATCAAGTTCAAGCACACCTCATGACTGGTAATCTGTGATCCACGACAGGCTCAATGCATGATGGGCGAAGGGTGGGATGTGGTTATGAAATCCCAAGAACAAAGCAGTTGCGTTCTGGTTATCCCTTTCTTTCCTTGAGTCTAATCTACTCCAAAGAAAAGGGTGACTCTTCCAGTCTAAAAAAGTAGATTCAAAATTCCTGATAGGGAACTGTTCATGGTTCAGATATTTTTTCTTTTGTATGGACTGAATCCCTTTTGCTGAAAATTTGAGAATATCACCATATATATAATAAACTTTGTTAATTAAAAAAACGAATAATTAAATTTGAGTCTGGATATTTAAATTGTTGGGTTCAAAGTATTTCATTTTTATAATTAAAAACAATATAATTAGCTGGACAAGGGCAGCTGGTTTTAATTAAGGACTTTAAAAACTGACCAACACTGGGTACTTAGTTTGTCATTTTTCTTGGATACAGTATTTAGAAGGCTGGCCATTCACTAGGTACTCAGCAAGCTCTTAGTGCCAGGCCCAGAGACGCAAAGGTGAATGGAACATAGTCTCTCTCCAGAGCAGCTCACAGCCGCGCGGGTGAGATGGCGCGTGCGCTCCTGTCATTTGGTGTGGTGAATGCTTCCAAAAGGCTGTACACAGAGCCATGGGTACACAGTGCGGTGAGGACTTAACACTTGAGCTGATCCAAATCTCTAGTTAGGGGATAAGCAAGTTTCTTTAGATTCCGCTGAAATTTCAAATGGCATTTTCTCCACTAACCACCATGAACCTTTAGATCTGGGACTCCCAACTGGGGGCGATTTTGCTCCCCAGGGGACATTTGGTAATGTCTGGAGACATTTTTGATTGTTGCAACTAAAGGGGGTGCTATCA